GATTATGATTCAGATGGGTTTCCACAGAGATTTTGTGAAGCTTATTTTTGTCTGTCTATCTTCAACTACTCTTTCTTTTAGAGTGAATGGTATTGTTAGTGGCTTTATTAAACCCTCAAGGGGAATTAGACAAGGGAATCCTCTATTCCCCTATCTCTTCATCATTATTGCTAAATTGTTGTCATCTCTTATTTTGGATGTTGTTAATTCTGGTCATTTGCAGGGAATTAAACTTTCAAGAAATGGACTTCTTCTTTCTCATTTACTTTTTGCAGACGTTTCTTTGTTTTTTTGTAAGGCATGTATGGACCAGGCTGAAGTTCTGTTGAATCTTTTGAACAAATATAGACTGTTTACTGGGCAAACAGTTAATCTTCATAAATCGGCCATTTTTTCAGTAGGAAAATTTTTGTTTACATTCAATAGAGGATTTCCTCAGCATTACATGGTATTCAGTCCCATAAATCCACCAGTTACTTTGGATTACCTCTTGGTATTGGTAGGTCCAAGAAAGAGGTCTTTGCTTATCTTTTAGAGTCCATCCAAGGGAAACTACATGGCTGTAAATCCAAATTACTTTCCTCTACAGGAAAGGAAGTCCTATTAAAGGAAATAATCCAAGCTTTACCTGTCTTTACCATGTCTTGCTTCCAGCTGCCTCAATCCATTTGCAAAGATATCTCAAGACTATGTGCTCAATTATGGTGGAATTCGAATGAAGATAGCTTTACGGTATCCACTAGAGAAGCTGGGCTAAAATGTCTCTGCCCAAATTGAATGGGGGAATTGGTTTTCATGATATCAAGCTATTCAATGAGGCCTTAATTTGTAAGCAACTGTGGAGAATCACAACACAACCTGATTTTCTTGTCAGCAATATATTGAAGGACAGGTATTATCCTCACACCTCCATCTTTCAAGCAGTCAAATCTCACAAGGTCCATGGCTATGGAACTGCTGGCTTGAGGTCCTTCTTATTTTCTCTAAATGGTAGAAAACTGAAATTAGAAGTGGAGCTGAAACTAGAATTGAGGATGTTAACTGGGTTCCAAATATGCCTAAGCCCAGATAAAAAATGATTGATATTACCAAAGGTCACCTCATTTTTTGTTAAAGATTTAATTCTTGCTGATAGAACAGGATGGAACCAGTGGTTGGTCAAACGGTTTTTTTTTTTTTTCCTAAATAAGATAGCAACGCCATTCTGGACATCAAAACTTTGAAGCCTAAAATTAAGGATAGGCTGTGTTGGGGTCTTGACAGGAAGGGAAAAGTCTCACTTACCAGTATCTATTCTTATTTAGCACAACAGAAGGCTCACACACTTGATCAACCTAAGAGTAGCTCCCCCTCTAAGCCTATGACAACCACCCTCCCCCTCTAAGCCTATGACAACCACCCTCATTAGAAGTTGGTCACTGAAGAATCCTGGGAAGATCAAGCTGTTCATATAGAAATGCATTAATGGCACATTGCATGTGTTTGTCAACTTGAACAAGAAAGGACATGATATTTACACCTATTGCAAATGTTGTGGAGAAGGTAATGAAACAGTTGAACACATTTTATTAACATGTCCCAGAGCTTGTAGATTACGGGATCTTGCCCCTGTCTCATGGGATGAGATCACCCAATATGACAGTTCTTTTAAGCATTGGTGGCAAAATGTGTGTTCCCTAGCCAAATCAGAGATATCAAGCCATAGAATACAAATCACTACCTATTTGCTCTGATGGCTGTGGAAGACTCATAATTTGTGGATTTTTCAAACATCTCTTATTCCAGTTCATTTGGTGATTAGAACGGCCAAACTGATTGGCAGGACTTCATGTTTTGAGTTCATGTTGAAACATTAACTCAAATACATTAACGGCAATTACGACAATGATGCCATGTCAGTAGTCTTCATTATGTATTATGCTTTCAACTATATATTACGCCTGCTATAGCACAAACAAGCGAACACTTATACAGACTTAGTCATCATCTGAATTGTTACTCAATTTCCAGGAAAGGAATGCAAAATAATGTAAGGGTAAGCTTGTAGTTATCGTCAACATTTGACATTAGTTTGATACCATAATCCAACAGTTCCAGTGTTATGTGAAAAGGTATGTACCCTTCTGCAACTGTGGGATGATGGTTTCAACATCTTTTACGCCAATGATTCTAACTTCGACAACTTCTGTTAAGTAACATGCTTGAGGCAACTGACAAAAAGAACGTCGATATTGCTCGAGATTGTGTATTGGAGTCGAATTGCATGATGACATTGATGAAACTCAAAATACTGTTGAATTAACTTATGAGGAGAAAGTCTTTGTAAAATTGATGAAATTCATAGACGTCTTGTTAATGTTGGTATGAAAAATAAAAAACTTGAACTGGAGAAGACCATGTATGAAACTGGGCAAGTCCTACGAGGAGGAGGTGAATGAGAGGGCGTCATCTTCGAACCAGACAGTGTCGGATTATATTGATTTGGAAGAGGGTATCCCAGGTTTTAGCAACCCAGGTCGGTCAAGGGCATCATCTTGAGAACTCGTAAACCGACCAAGGCTGCTAAAACCCGAGATACAACTCCGTCAAATCAATGTAATCTGACACCATCTGGTCCCAAAATGACACCCTATCATTTACCTCCTCCACGGTGGCTTTCCCAAAAAAAGCAATTTTGATGGGTTTACAGGTTCTCGAATGTTGGAAACATATACAAATGGGTTTGTGTAATTACTTGGAGTTGTCACTCGTTTTTAACACTCAAGTGTTTTGATACTTTTTTTTTATTGGTCAAGTGAAATATTAAAAAAAAAAATTCCGACCCGCCTAACTGGCCCTGAACCGGCGGGTCGGTGTCCCGGTGAACAAGGCCGGTTCATTGAGATGTCCTGGCCAGTTACGGGACATCACATTGAGTCGACGGGCTGGACCGAGCCGTACCCCGGCCCGTGACTTGGCCACGTCTAGTCAAATCTAGTAGAGCCTAAAGATCTGTAATCAATTAAATCGAGAAACAAACGTGGACTTATTCGACTGTATTCTACAAAAAAATGCTTTCAAATAACCAATACTGCAATTGAGTCTTTAATTAGAGCTGTGATCAACATTTTCTTTGTAGTACCAAAGTATAGCGGCACCAACTTCACAGGAGAAAATAAATCACAGATGCATCACAATGTCACTATGGAACTTGACATCCAAAGTCTCGGCAGTTTTAAAAAACTAACATAATATACATCTCAAATTTACACAATTTCTGAGTTCCTCCAACTACAGTCGGAAGTTCCAAAAGGTCTTCGCAATTTAGTCACTACTTTAAGTACTAGAGTTTACAAAAATAAGGAAAACGAGAAAGAGAGAGAGAGAGAGAGAGAGAGAGAGAGAGAGAGAGAGAGAGAGAGAGAGAGCACCACCGTAGACATTTCTTTCAATCGGGTACAAAGAACTCGCACGATTAACTAGAAGCATGAACTCTAGATGACGAGGCCTCACCCAGTGACACAGAGGCTATAGATGATGCCCAAACTCGAGCATTTCTGGCCCCTCTGTGGAAGTTTCTCGTTTTACAAATCTTGAGCTTGCTCCAAATTCTCTTGACATCAATCAAATGGAGAATATGCCCCAAGAGCTGCTTCGACTCACCGAAAATTCCCAAATTCAGATGAGGAATATATGCTGTCCAAAGTGCCAGTATACGAGACGCAATTTCCGGGTAGATATACAGAAAAGCCCTTAAAAAGATAAATATTACAGAAAGTACAAGATAGGGTTCCCTCGAGAATGTTTCCTTGAATGAGGCTCGATTCCAGAGTTGGGGCACGCCTTGACCACTTTCTGCACTTTTTGATGTATTTTCGACCATATCAACCAGTGGATCCATTCCTAAGAAAACATAAACATCAAAGCACGAGGAAAAAGAACGTGAGAATTTTGTTATCTGCACGAGCACATATAAAAATCTTCATTTATTTATTCCACAAAATCTTAATTTCTATGTTGAAATTTATTTCAAGCACTACTGAGCAATGAATTAGATGTGGATAAAAAGGTAATGCTTAAATTTTTAAAATAAAATATGTAGTTCCTGAAAAATAAAAGTAGACCTAGCATGATCTTGCACGTAATCTTTCCATATTCAGGATAATTAAGTGGTTCTACTATAAATTATGTACTGAGAGTATAAAAATAAAAAAAATAAAAATAAAACAGAGAGAGTAAAGAATCTATCTTGGTGCTACCTGTTGATCTTTTATAGAAATCTTTAAGTGACTGGAGATTTTTGTGACCATGATATCTCATTCGTGCTGTCTGATTCACGATTAGCAGGGTAGGCACACTGTGAATCCCGTATCTAGAAAAAACACTGCACCCACAACACAAAGTTAGTTTTTTACTACCAATTAAATGTTTTGAAGTTATAAAACCTTGCAAAGTTGTTAATGTTTCTTAGTAAAAGCAAGGAACAATATATTAAAAATATATAATAAGGGAACATTGTTTAATTATGTTTCATTTTATTTTAAAGAAATAAAATCCAGTCAGGCACACACCTGACATTCAATTTTCTGCATGAAAAAAATTGATCATACTACAAAGGTCCACTGACAACTTTTACAAGGGTGCATGAAGGCTATGGTTTGCCATAAGCCAAATACAGTCTTGGTCAAGCTGACTAGGGATTGGTCATTGGAGTCGATGAAAAATACACCAATAGAATAAAAATTAAGATGTTACCTTGGCATGGCTGAAGAATGGTCAACCATTACATGTTTGATCTGCGGATACATGGAACTCAGAATAGAAAACTTCGACTGAAAGATGCTTGAGAAAGGGCACCAGGAAGCATAAAACAAAACAGCAGTGTACTCATTCTTCTGGCTGGACCTCATCACTCTCTCCAATGATTCATCATCCACCTTGCATATTGATTAACCAGTGAAATTAAAAAACATGAAAAACAGAAACTTCCTCAAGTCCAAATACGAATAAAAATTTTCAAGTCAATGTTCACATTTTTTTCATATAATATCAATAGTAATAACCACCATAGGATTGACATAAAATTGAAATATGAAAATATGTTACCACGTAACATAGAGTTAATAATGTACTCAAACCAAGATTATAAGAAATATGCCTAGTTGTTGGTAATATTGCAACCTTACACTTTTAGGAAATTTTAACCAAACTTTTGAATATTAGCAAATAAANNNNAAAAAAAAAAAAAAATAGCATAACCTTGTCCAAAAATTGCAACTCAAACCCAAACCCAGCGGCGAGACATTTTTCCAGCGTTTCCGATGTTTGCTCTAACGTGGACAAATTTTATGGCTGACATTGTATATATTTAATGACGTGTGAAAACCTGAACAAACACATTGAAAAAGTCCATCTTCTTCCCCAAATATCCCAAATTCACTTTTGAACCATAACCCTAAATTCATGAGCTTGCCTTCTTCCCCAACTTTTGCAGCTTCATCACCATCACCCAATTTGCTCTGAAAATGTCGTCCTCATCTCGTACAAGTCCCCAACCACAACCGCACTCTGTCCCAATTACAGCCGGAAATGGCGCTCTAGCGGCATGCCAAAATGCGCTCAAGGCCTGCGGGTTTCCTTCACTTGCCGGGGATGACCACGGATTGTTTTCAACGGTGACAGCCACGTGAGGATGATGGTACCCGGTCGTTTTTTTTGCGAAAAGTAGAAAGTCCAGATCCCCGCGAGAAGCCGGTGAGTCACCAGGTAGTCTCGCTTTTATCTCATCTCTTTTTTTTGAATTCTTCTTCTCTCTTTTTTTTTTTTTTTTTTTTTTT